ACTTCGAAGTATTTTTCGAACGAGAACAAGATCCTCATAATGCTTCCCAAGTGTATCCAAATTTGAGACGATAGTTGAAAATCTCTCGAACATGCCATCTATTGTTTCATTTTCCATCATCATGAAAAGCTCATACTCATGGGTGAGTAAGTCGATCTTTGAGTCCTTCACTTGACTTGTTCCTTCATATGTGACCTCTAATTTGTTCCACATCTCATTGGCCATCTTGCACCTTGAGATTTTCCGATAGTCATCCGGATTCACGGTACAATATAGAAAGTTGATGGCCCTTGCATTTAGTTGCATCTTCTTCTTGTCATTTGAGGTATATTCAGTCTCTAACTTTGGAACAAGAACCCCGTCAACAATCTTCGTGGGAACCGTCTCTCCATGCTTGATCACCAACCAAGAATCATAATCATTTGATTGGATGAATATTCTCATATCAATCAGTCATTAATCATTTGATTGGATGAATATTTCCACATCAATCAACATCAAATTCATAACAATAATCATTAATAAGTTCATATCAATAGTCCAAAAATTATCTAACAATCTTTTAACCTTACCCATTCCGATTCATTCTTTTCAACTCACAAAAAACTTATTAATCACATACGGTTTCATATAACTCAATCGTAACGATTCTATGGACATAAGATTCAAACCTACGAATACAACTATATGTTAGATTTCCACGTACTCACCTTGAACACAAAGTTTAGTAACTACGACGAGAATACCAACAAATCATGTGAGCGGTGCGACCTTCCTTCCTCTTCTTCTTCTTTATTCCCTATTCTTTCGCCACTGATGTCCTTCAATTTTGTTCTTCCAATCGGCCAAGAGAGAAACGAGAGTACGTTACGTAATTATGGGTGGCGAAGAGGGTTTTAGGCATGTAGGCACCTAATTTATAGGTTTGGGGTTTTGGGTTCCAAAATTAATTCACGTACCTCGCCCAAAGTATACTTTTTGGGCCCACGAGCTCCAAATCCAAATCTGTTTGCACTGTTGGATTCAATCCGTCGAATCCTACACAATGGTATAATTCTTTTGGTCAAATGAAGAATATTTCGAAATTAAACTAAGTCCGTAGAAATAATTAATTATTTTTAATTAATTAATCCTGATAGGCCGGGTTTCAAGGCGTTACATTTTTCTCCCCCTTAAAATAATTTGATCCTCGAAATTACCTAAGCCATTGGTCACTTAAGAGTTGAGGATACTAAGCTCGCATAGACTCCTTGGTCTCCTAAATTGCCTCCTCCACGACGTGATTTCACCAAAGCATCTTGACCAAGGAAACTGCCTTGTTCCTCAATTCCTTTACTTCACGTTCTAGGATCTGTATGCGTTCTTATTCATAAGTGAGGATCTGGTCGATGGTGATTGCTCCCTCGGGTAAAACATGTGATGGATATGATGGATATCTTCGCAGCATGGACACGTGGAACACGTCATGTATCTTTTGGAGGTTTGGAGGTAACTCCAACTGGTAAGCCAATGATCCTACTCGTTTAATGACCCAGTATGGTCCGATGAACCTAGGACTTAGCTTGCCCTTCTTACCAAATATTAACACCTTTATCCAGGGGGAAACTTTTAGGAATACCCAATCGTCCATATTATACTCAATCTCTCTACGGTTGAGGTCGGCATAGGACTTTCGATGATATAAAGCAATTTGCTTCCTGTCACGTATCAATTGAACTTTCTCTTTTGCTTTGTGAATAAGGTCGGATCCTTCGAGCTTGGGCTCGCTCAACTCGGTCCAACAGACTAGGATTCTGCAACATCTTCTGTACAATACCTCGTACGGGGCAATCTGAATGCTAGCGTGGTAGCTATTCTTGTTGTAGGCAAACTCCATTAATGGTAGGTTTCACTCCCAACTATTTCCAAAGTCGATGACGAAAGCTCTCATCATGTCCTCTAGGATCTTGATCATTCTCTCAGACTGACCATCCGTTTGAGGGTGAAACAATGTACTGAAATTAAGCTTAGTGCCAAGACCCTTTTGAAGACACTTCCAAAACTGAGATGTGAATCGTGGATCGTGATCTGAAATAGTAGACACTGGCACTCCATGTAGTCTCACGATTTCACGTATGTAATGTTTAGTTAGCTTCTACAAAGAGAAGTTTGGTCAGATAAGAAGGAAGTGTGCTGACTTTTTCAATGTATCTACAATGACCCAAACAACGTCGTTCTTCTTGCTTGAAAGGGGTAAGCTTATCACGAAGTCCATCGTGATCCTCTCCCTTTTCCACTCAAGGATACCTGGTGGTTGTAGCAACTCATTTGCCACTTGATGCTCCGCCTTGACTTGCTGACAAGTCAAGCATTTAAATTTAAATTCAAAAATTTCTCATTTCATAGTTGGCCACAAGTAGGTCTTCTTGAGATCTTGATTCATCTGATTGCTACTAGGGTGTATGGTGTACACGGTCTTCTAAACTTCTTGTAGCAACTGTTCTCTCACTTCACCGTCGGGTACCACTAAGCAATCTCGAGAGAACAAAATACCATTGCCATCAATAGTGAAGTCTTGTCTCTCCCCCTTAGAGACAAGCTCACAAGTCTTTACACAAAAGTCATTCGTTGCCTGAGCCGTGCGGATCTCGCTGTCCAGAGTAGGTTGAAGTTACAGTTCGGCCATAGTCTTTTGGATCAAGGCATCAGCCAAAGCCTTTCTATGGTGTAACAGTCGTAATCCTTAATTAGCTCTAACCATCTTCGTTGCCTCAAATTTAGCTCCTTTTGTGTCAACAAATACTTCAAAATCTTGTGATCAGTGTGAATATGGGTGGACTTACCAAACAAGTAGTGTTGCCACATCTTTAATGCAAATACCACCGTAGCTAACTCCAGGTCATGCGTAGGCTAGTTACCCTCATGAGGTTTCAACTGCCAGGAGGCGTAGCACACAACCGAATCCACTGTGGGATGCGTCGCTAAAAATCATGTAATCAACTTCAGGCACTGGTTGTACTAGCACCAGTGCCTCGGTTAAGCACTTCTTGAGTTTCTCAAAACTCTATTGGCATGCGTCAGTCCATGCAAATTTCACGTCCTTCTTCAGTAGCTTATTCAAAGGTGACGTAATGGATGAGAAGCCCTCCACGAAACACTGGTAGTAACCAGCTAGGCCGAGGAAGCTCCTTACCTCTCGTGCATTCCTTGGAGCCTTCCACTCTGTTATAGCTGAGATCTTACTGAGATCCACCTTGATACCTTCGCTGGAAATCACGTGCCCTAAGAACATGACTTCATTAAGCTAAAATTCACACTTGGACAATTTGGCATAGAGCTTGTGCTCTCTCAGTACCCCAAGTACAATCTACAGGTGTCTAGCATATTCTTCTAGTTTCTTGGAGTACACCAGGATGTTGTCGATGAAAACTAACACGAATTGGTCCAAGTAAGGACGGAAAATGCTGTTCATCAGGTTCATAAATATTTTCTGGGAATTCGTCACTCAAAACGAGATCACCGTGAATCTGTAGTGGCCATAGCGTGTTTGGAAAGTTGTCTTCGATATATTTGCTTTCTTTACTCAGATCTGATGGCAACCTGACCGAAGGTCTATCTTAGAGAACACCGTAGCTAGGGCTATTCACATTTAGGTCTGGACTGAAAAAATCGACCGAGCTAGACCGTTAGGTCCAGACCGAACCCAGACCGAATGGGTTTTGGGTTGGCCTTCGGTCTAGAAAATTTAGATATTCGAGTTCCGGTCCGATCCAGTCCAAACCCGAAATGATTTAGGTCCGGACCGATTGGACTGAATGGACCTAATAACCCTACTAGACCTAAAAGACCTAAATACTAAAACTCTACTTTTTAGGTTCGTTATTACACATTGATGCTCTATTTTAATAGAAATCTTAATTATTTTAATTAAAAAGGTTTTTTTATTAAGTAATTAAAAAATTAAAAAGATGTTTCATATTAGTTTTTATGATTCTACATAGAAGTAGTTCATATTGTATATATATTTTTAGGTTGCCTATTTTTATTCTTTTTCTATTTGAATAGTACAGAGTAAAAAGCCTAAAATATATTTAATTGATCAAAATAATTAAAAAATATGTATTTTTATTTGGTCCAATCGGTCCGGACTAGTTCGGTCCTAAGTATTTAAGGCCGGTCTGATCCAAACCCGAAGTGGTCCTTGGTGTTCAAAATATAGCATTTACAACCAAAAACTTTGAAAATGGAAATGTTTGGTTTTCTACCTTTCCAAAGTTCATAAGGAGTCTTTTTTATGATAGGTCTAAGTAATACCCGGTTAAGAACGTAGCATGTCGTGTTGACCGCTTCTCCCTAAAAGTATTGAGGTAAATTATGCTCATCTAGAATGGTTCTTGACATCTCTTGCAACGTCCTATTCTTTCTCTCAACAACTCCATTTTGTTAAGGTGTTCTTGAAGCCGAGAAGTTGTGAGAAATTCTGTGCTCAACACAATATGTTCCGAAATCATAATTTTGATATTCTCCTCCTCTATCACTTTCTAGAGAGGTGATTGAATATCCTTTCTCGTTTTGAATTTTCTTGCAAAATTTAATAAACACATTAAAAGCATCATCTTTATTAGTAAGTAATATAACTTAAGTATAACGAGAGAAGTCATCAACAATGACAAAAGTGAAACTAGCTCCACCTAAATTTTACACGTAAATGGGTCCAAACAAATCCATGTGCAATTGTTCAAGTGGTCTAGTGGTTAAAACCATTTTTATGGGTTTCAAAGAGATTTTGTGTTGTTTTCCAAGAGAACATGCATCACAAAAACGGGAACGAGGTATGTTCATCTTGGGCAATCCAACAACTAAATCATTTGAAGAAAGTTTTCTTAAAAGATCATAACTTGCATGTCCTAGCCTATGATGCCATAAGGTATAAAATTCAAGAGAAGTGGCAAGACAAGTGATTTTTGATTTGCTCAAATTGTTAGAATTAAACTTATACAAGTTTCCATATCTTTTAGCCTAAAAAATGATTTCATCTTTGTTTTGGCCATATAACACGCAGAAATTTACATTAAACTCAATTTTGTGGCCATTGTCACAAAGTTGGCTTATGCTAATTAAATTAAACTTTAGAAAATCAACAAGATAAACATCATTAATGGTTAAATCACTTGAAATACCAATTGTACCTTTACCGATGACCTATTCCTTGCTTTGTCTCCAAGAGTCACATGATCGTGGCTTTTCTCCTTGAGATAGGTGAACCATTATCTCGTGCCGGTCATGTGTCTTGAGCACCAACTACCCACTATCCAAGTGGTATTGTTCACCTATTCTTCGTCATTCGTTGCCATGAAGCAAGCATTTGAAACTTCTTCATCACTTTGATCATTATTGCTTGCATCGGAATTTAAATCATCCCCAAGTTTTAGGGCATTCTTCTTTCCCTTCTTGAATTCTTCATTCTTTTTGAGCTTGGGTCATTTGGGCTTGATGTGTCCTACCACATTCATAACAAGTAATTTGATTATTCTTACCTTTCTTGGAAGAGAATTTCTTGCAAGAGACTCTTTTGTTCCACTTCATGAATTTCTTGTATCTTTTAAACATGGCAATCTCTTCGTCACTATCTTCCTCGCTTTTCGAGTGATCATTAAACTTGAGTGCCATCGTATTCTTAGTTATAGGAACCTGTTCTTATTCCTTCATTTTTCTTAAGAGAAACTCATGAGAATACAAGCTACTCCAAATGGTGGAAGTTTCAACATTCGCACATTTGGGTAGCAAGTTTATGACTAAACTATGCCACTCTCTAAGTAATGAGAAAATCATTTTAGTGTTTATCTCACTCTTGGGGTAAATATTATTAAACTTACTCAAGCTATTGATGACGAGATTGAATTGTTTGTTGTTGTCTTGTACGGATTCTCCAGCCTTCATCTTGAATTTTTCCTATTCGGACGTCCCTAAGGCTATCTTCATAGCTTTGGTGTCATTGTCTCCCTCATGAGTTTCTTTGAGAAGTTCTCATCCATCATTTGTGGATTTATATGAGCTAATCCTAGAGAACTCATATTAGCCTAAAGCACAAAACAAAACGTTTAATGATTTGGCATTCAAAGATAGTTTCTTCTTGTCATCTGGAGTGAGTTTGTCCATGGGCATAGGTACCTGCACATCTTTCATGGTAGTGATTGTCACAAAAGGGTCATTAGTTGTTATTATCCATAAATCAAAATGAATGGATTGAATGAAGTTCTCCATTTGCATTTTTCGATAATCATAAATATCACCATTAAAGAATGGTGGCTTGGTGATGCTTTAGGAGTTCATGAAATTCATGTATCGTGAAAAAGTTTTCAAAATTTTATTTTGAAATGGTTAAAAAATCATGCTTCGATACCAATTGATATTCGGTTACACCCCAAGAGGGAGGTGAAATAGGGTGTTTAAAAGTTTTTCGCAAAATAAAAACTTAAAAGAAAGTAAAGAGCAAAAAAAGATTAAGGAAAATAATATGAAATTAAAGAGTACGACACAACCATTTTATACTGGTTCGGGAACTCCCTACTCTAGTACCTCGAGACTCCTCCTCAAGGATTTAACTTCCACTAACTTGTTTTGCTTCACTTTGTGTTGGTGCAAACTAATTTTTGTTAAACGCACCAACATTCGTGTTTGTGTGAATTTTTATTAACGCACAAACACTTGTATCGGTGTAAACCATCGAAATGTTTGTGCAAACCTGTAGTGTACAAATGAGGTATATGTTTTGGTGTAAATGTAGGATGGTTCTAGGCCAAAACGGAAACCAAAACCAACAAATAGAGAACAACTCTTTTATGGAAAAGAACGATGGCTTTGACCAAAACGAACCCGGTCAAGGCTATTCTAATGTCTTGAAACAACGATGCCTTTGACCTTTCTCTTGTGGAAAAGAACACACGCTTCAGAACACTTTTGGTTGGACTTCAGGCTTTTAAATACGAGTAATTATCCCTTCTGATATTGTCGATCGTCCCACCCAAAGAAAAAAGAAGAAAGAAGAAGAAGAAGAAAATCAGAAACTAGTATACTCATGGCTCTTCTGCAAGTTTTATGCCTGTTATTATTTCACTCCGCATCAGCGGCAACTCAAGAAAGATTCACAAACATAAGCTTGGGCTCCTCACTAACGCCAACCACCAATTCTTCGTGGCTTTCGCCTTCCGGGACCTTCGCTTTTGGGTTCTATAAGCAAGACGGCGGCTATGCTGTCGGAACATTCATATCCGGCAGCGGCATACGCGAGAGAACCGCCGCCGTCTGGACGGCCAAGAGAGACAGCAGTCCCATTTTCCCGTCGAATTCCACTTTGCTACTGAAGAAGGAAGGAAGGCTAGTTGTGGATGCAGGACAAGGCACAGAGGTTGACGTTGTAGATCGCGGACTTGCCATTGGATCCGCTTCCATTTCTGACAACGGGAACTTCGTACTCTACGGATCTGATCGGGGCGTCATATGGCAGAGCTTTGACAATCCGACAAACACTCTTTTGCCCGGTCAGGTCCTTGCGAACGGGAGACAGCTGGTTTCCAGCATTTCCGACAGTGATGACAGTGAAGGGATATTCCGGATCGTGATGCAGGGTGACGGGCATCTTGTTCAGTACCCGGTTGGGACTTCGGGCACGGCTGAGAATTCTTACTGGGCATCTGGGACTGCTGGAACAGGGGATAAGATCACTCTTAACCTCGAGCGAGACGGCCACCTCTACTTGATCAATTCCACCATCAATATCATCAAGAACTTGACTCGGGGAGGCTACCCGGAGGAGAAAACAATCAATCTTGCAAAAATTGACGCAGATGGCATCTTCAGGCTTTACTCATACCCTCTCGGCCCAGGAAACCGGTCCGTTTTGTGGTCAACAACGGAAGATAAATGCGCCCCAAAGGGGCTATGCGGGGCGAACGCCTTCTGCACTGCAATGGACAATCAGGCCGAATGCAATTGCGTTCCAGGGTTCGTCCCTGTTAGTCCTGGAAACTGGAGTTCCGGTTGCCAAAGGAACTTCGCCTCGAGGAGCTGCCAAGAAACAGGAGGAAATGGCTATGAAATGAGGGCATTGGAGAACACAGTGTGGCAGACCAATTCATATGCGACTTTCAAAGCCTCAACGCGAGAAGACTGCGGGAACGCCTGTCTAGAGGATTGTAATTGTGAGGCGGCCCAGTTTAAGGATGGAGATTGCAGAAAGGAGAGGCTGCCCTTACTTTACGGGAGACGATTAATGACTGATTCTAATGCAGCTTTAATCAAGGTCGGGGGAATCCCGGCCATTGCAGGCGGAGACGAGTCAGACGGCAAGGCCCCTTCCCCTGTTGATCATAAGAAACATATAAGAGTAGACATCTTGATTGTCAGCATTTCCTTAGTATCTTTTTCTCTGCTGATTCTGGCGATCTCTGGGTTGCTTATACTCAGAAGCAGAGTCTGGAGGTATAAAGATATAGTAGCAGAGAACAATAGAGACGGCTGTCATTCTTTCGAGGATGAAATCGGCCCCCGGGCTTTCTCGTACGCAAAACTGCAGAAAGCAACCAATGATTTCGGAGAAGAGCTGGGCAGAGGGGCATTCGGGACGGTATTTAAAGGGGTTCTAGAAGAAAGCATGAAACCAGTGGCCGTAAAAAGGCTTGAAAAGCTTTTGGCAGAGGGCGAAAAGGAGTTCGAGAACGAGATGAGAGCGATCGGGAAAACCCATCACAGGAACTTGGTGAAGCTTCTTGGTTTTTGCATAGACGGGACCAAAAGGTTTCTGGTGTATGAGTACCTGAGCAACGGGTCACTCGCGGACGCGCTTTTCTCGGGGGAGAGAAGGAGGCACAGCTGGGAGGAGAGGGTTGGGATTGCCCGAGACATTGCAAGGGGGCTGCTCTACTTGCACGAGGAATGCGAGACACAAATCATCCACTGCGACATAAAGTCGCAGAACATACTGATGGACGAACGAGGTGTCGCGAAAATCTCCGACTTTGGATTGGCGAAGCTGATGAGACCGGACCAGACAAAGACCTTCACCGGAGCCAGAGGGACTAGAGGGTATGTCGCGCCAGAATGGCACAAAAAGGGGGCGGTTACTGTGAAGGCGGATGTGTACAGCTTTGGGATTGTGCTCCTGGAGCTTATTGCCCGGAGAAGGAGCCTGGATTGGAGCCTAGGACAAGATGAAGCGGTTCTTGAGGAGTGGGTTTACAGTTGCTTTGAGAGTGGGGAGGTGGGGAAACTGGTCGGGGATGATGAGGATGTGGAATTGGGACAAGTGGAGAGAATGGTGAGGATCGCCATGTGGTGCATTCAAGATTCCCCATCTCTCCGACCTTCCATGAAGAAAGTTTTGCTGATGCTGGAAGGCACTGTGGACATCCCAATTCCCCCTAGTCGTTCTTCATTCCTTAGCGCCATTTAGTTCTCAACTTTAACCATCTCCATTCTTCTTTCTTCTTCTTTGTTTTTTTAACTAGTTTTTTCACTTCTTGCTTTAGAGGTATTGTCCTTCTTATCACCATTGCATTGCGACCGCATCCCCAGAAAGCTAATAACATGAACTTTGAATAAAATGTGAGAGTTAATAAATGTATACTCTACAAAAGAAGAAACTAACCTGCGACTTCATTGCTTAGACGTTTCCCTTTCCCACAATAGTTAAAAATGGCATTTTTATTGATTTTTTTCGATCTTTTCCCTCTAGATGGGGAAACCAATTCCATTTTTTGCTACCAAATCACACTAAGAAGTAAGGACATGTTCTTTAGAGCTTTTACTCTTAACTTCTAGTTTCTTTCAGTTCCTTCCACTTTTTTCCAGTTCTTCCAGTTCCTTCTCATTTCCTCCAACTATATTTATTTTCTTCGAATTCTTTCCACTTTTGGACAAATCACTCTAAAAAAATATATTATTATTATTACAACTTTTATGTTCATAACTATAGTTTATAAATTATTTCATTTTTTTATCTCACTATTTTTTTTGATTCACATTCATTATTATTTTTTCTACAACTTTTTAATATGAATATTACCTTTTTTTGTATATTAATCTAAAACAAATTTTGTAATATATAAAATATAATTACAAATATATTATTTTATAATAAATACAACATAGCCATAATAAGTCTTAAGTATTTAACATTTTGATATTTATGCTAATTTTATATTCTAATTATTTTTTTTAAACTAGCTTTTTATATATGAAAAATAATACTCGTAATATTTGTTTTATATCTTAAAAACAATCATTAAGATAACGTGATGACACCACTACTACCACCACCACCAATAACATCAACAACAACAACATTAATAACAACAACAACAATAACAACAATAATTTATAACAACAAGAATTAGAATGAGAATAATATAAAACCACACATAAATTTTTTTAAAAAACTTTTTTTAGATTTTTCAATTTTTTCTAGTTTTTTCAGTTTCTTTTAATTTTTTTCAGTTTTTCCAATTTTTTCCTGTTTCTTCCAGTTCCTTCGAGTTTCTTCCAGTTCCTTCCAGCTTCTTCCAGTTTCTTCCAGTTCCTTCCAGCTTCTTCCAGTTTCTTCCAGTTCCTTCCAGCTTCTTCCAGTTTCTTCCAGTTCATTCCAACATCCAACTCTTTTTTTCAGTCCTAAAGAACAGGCTCTAAGTAAATCTGTAAAAGTTTTTTTTGGAATTGTTCGGAATCTTAGAACGATTTAAGTACTAAAGAAAATTTTAATAAAGATGGAATGCGGAAAATTATAAATAACTTTACATTTACTTGCTGCCAAATTAAAGAAGACCCGTAGTTGCAGTCCTTGCAGCTGGTGGGGGGTTAAGGCCATGTTTCCCTCAACTTATTTTTTTACTTTTTACTTATTCGATCGGTACAGCAGATCAGAAATGACTTTATCTATAACTACATTCAGATCAGATCACATTAGACCAGATCAGGTATGATTAGATGATATCAGAACTTATTCCAATCAGATCAGATCCATTCATATTAGGTGAAGAGAACATGGCCTAAGTCCAAACAAGCCATTAAAATATTTTTTGGCAAAGACTGTGTCATCCATCTCAAGGTTTAGAGCATTGGACAATTAATGGTGACTCAAAAATCTAGTGTGCTTTTGATCAACATAAGTCCAATCCCTAATTTGCACAAAAAAGATAGGGGTTCATATTTCATATGTTAAGCGTAATTCCATAAACCCTTTACCCTCCCAGCCTAATGGAGAATCACATGTAATGAACAATGCTCCTAACATTAGATGATTTAGAGATACTGAAAACAATTGACAAATTTATGTAAACACCTTCTTGAGATGCTACAACTTATAAAATAAAAAAATTTCAAACCTGAAAACTTTTAACAACTAGTATCTTGAACATTAATTCATGAGAATTCTTTATTTCAACTAATTCAAAACTCAGAATGACAAAACCCTATATTTCATTCATTATTCTTCATCATTTTCTTATGTTCATCAACTTTATGGAATAAGGAACAGACAAATTCCTTGTAGTAGAGCAAAATCTAAGAGAAGGTATATAAAAACAAAAGTGTGACTAATCAAATTAAGGTATTGCTAAATCCACCCCAAAAATGACTATATCCACACCTTTTCTCTGTATTTGAAAAATCCACACCCATTAACATAACTTTAATATTGGTTTAGATTTAGCAAATTTAAGTAAAAGGGGTGGATATAGCCTTTCTTTGGTGGATTTAAAAACAACCGAAATCCCATCAAATTAAACTTTAAATAAATAGGCATCTCACTCTATTCCGTTTCTCACCATATCCTTGCTCTGCGATTCTCACATTTTGAAGTCATTACTGATTTGTGGACAATTAATTTCCAAATTTAAAGAGCCGAGGTTCCACTTCTACCCATTTAGTGAAGTAGTCGATTGCAACGACGACCCATTTCGCCTTCTTCTTGCCTTTTGCCAAGACCCCAACCAGATCTACCCCCATCTTGCGAATGGGAATACGGTGCTTATGGGGGTTTCATTCATAACTGGTCTTCCTGTGATACTCTAGAACTGTTTTCATGTTGGGCACTTACGAACATACTTCTCATAATCCTTCCTCAATGACGGCCATAAGTATCCCTGAATAATAGCCCTCCGGGAAATATATAGAATATGGCCCCTGGTGGGTTTCTCAGGTCCCATTATGTTTTTCTTCAGTTAACAATATGGCATCTTCCTCTTGTAAACATCTATGCAGCACTCCATTGTATGAGCATTTATAGAGGATACCTTCTTGTATGACATAACTCGGGGCTTCCATCTCTAGAAGCCTGGGTTCCTACGTGTCCTCTAAGACCACTCCATCGTCTATGTATCTGGACAGTTGCTCTAACCATTCAGGGGGTCTGCTGCCACTCAAGCCATAACCTCCTTCGTCAAACTAGGTGCCTTTAGTTCCTCTACATTGGCTAGTTTACTGATGTACTTCGTGGTCTCTTCACGTAACATAGACAACACATCAGCCTTCGTATTGGAACTCTGAGGTATGTATTGAAATTGGTATTCAAATCCACTCAGCATTTCTAGCGTGTGTTCTCGGTACTTTCGCACTCGTCAATCCTTTGCCTCGAACTATCCATTGATCTGGCCGATGATAAGCTTTAAGTCACTAAAAATTTGAATCTTTAATCTTAATCTCTTGGTGATCTATAATCCACTGATCAGTGCCTTGTACTCGGCCTCATTATTGGACACCTGGAAACTGGAGCGGATTGCATAATATATTCTGAAGGGCTCCAGGGTGACCAGTACTACCCCCGTGCCACTGGACTTTGCTCTAGAGGACCCGTTTATAGACATGGTCCACCATCCATTTCCTTCTTCTAGCGATGCTTCATGGTGCTTTGTTTTCTCCCTTGTAGTGCATTCATTTTGGAAGTTGGCCAGCGCCTGGCCTTTGATCGACGGACGCAGTTTAAATTCAACTTTATAATGGCCGATAAACATGACCCATTTTTTCATCATCTCTGACGCTGTTGGGCTTCTCGATAGCGACAGCAGCGGCTCACTCGTCAATACATTAACTTGGTGGCCTTGAAAGTATGGGGTTAATTGCTTCGCCGCCATTAAACCGCCAACATCACTTTCTTCATCCGTGAGTATCATAGTTCGGCGTCCCTTAATGTTCTACTGGCGTAATTAGCTGGGTACTGGACCCCTTCTTCTTCCCGCATGATCACTTTGCTTATTGCTTAGTCTGAAATGGCCAAATACAAAACCAATACATCCCCTTGTTCCGGTTTGGATAACACATGAGGATTAGCCAAATACTTATTTATTTATTCGAATGCTTCATGGCACTCCTGGGTCCACTCGAAAGTGGCTTGTTTCTTGATTACAACAAAAAAAGGATGTGCTTTTTAAGCCAGCTTAGACAGGAAGCGGTTCAGTGATGAAAAGAACATCCTTTGCTAGGCAAGAAAATGCTAGCTTCCTGTCTAAGCTGGCTGAAATTCTTGGGGCACATGGTAAGTCGAAAGGGGATCAAAGCCAACCCGAAGAAGGTTAGGGTGATCCAAGAGATGGAACCCCCAAAAATAGCAAAGGAAGTGCAGTGCTTGACCGGAAGGCTAGTTTTCATCAAAGAAAGGATGTGCAACTTTGATAAGAATTTCCCGCCTTGAACCGCAAAGGTGCACTTCTTAGGGTTGAGTGATGAAAAGAAATATTTTCGTAGTAAAGGGGGAATCAACTTGACCATAGGCTAGTTTATCCCTGTGTCGTCTCTAGGATCACTCGAAGGGAAAAAGACAGTAGGATTTTGGCTAAACAAGATTTACTTATTGATTTGGAAAGTTATTTAATATCGAAGCTTTAAAAAGGTGGTGATTTATATAGCAGTTTAAAAGACATGGATGTAATTCATTTTCAGGAAATTGCTATATATAGACTACTTTTATTAGTTGGAATAACTTTTATTTCAAAACCTTACTACTCGTGAATAAATATTATTAAACATTCATTCAATAATTAATTCTCAGTATAGAAATTAATTGTTATTATTAAAAGATATGACTTTAATCTTGATCATAATTTCTTAATGAACAAGATTATCTCTTCAAGATTTGATTAATAATCTCTCAATTAATTAATCACAATAAAAATTCACAATAATAACTAGCAATTAACTTATAGAAAAAATCATTTTCTTTCCCCACCTTGGCCGTAAGCGTCCACTCATAGGATTGTAGACTAGCCCCACAAACCAACACAAGTCTTTCCTCATACTTTGTCCTCACTCGTGCACGCCTAAGGAATTTCCCAGGGGATCACTCATCCTAAAATTCCTCCAAGTCAAGCACGATTAACTTTACAGTTTCTCGGTGATGAGCTCTTGAAAAGAAAATGCACCTTGTTGGCATGAGTAGTGCTAGCAATTCTTTTGAGCCTTTTCTTTTCCCAATCTATTTATTTTGCAATCAGGGTATTACAATCCAGGTTTGACGATTCCACGTGGCTCGGTTGGGGTGGCTCCCATCTGAGTGGAGCTTTCTCTAGATTTTTCCCCAGTTGTGCACTGACTGGTATCCTCCCTTATGTCATTCGGTCAAAGAAAGAACCCCTGGCGTTCCCGGTCTCTGCATGGCGCGGCTAGCCGGCTGGCCGACGAGCAATCGAGTCCTGAGTCTTTGCCCGAGTTAGCAGGTCGCACTCCTGGGTGTTCTAGACTAGCTCTTCCTCGAGACGTCTTCTTACATCCTCTCTCTCTCTCTCTCTCGTTCTATCTCCTCCGTGATATGGAGTTCTTCTAGAATGGGATTCATCTATTCTGGCCATGTCTAGGGAATCTACCTTGGGACCCTAGAGGGATCGAGAAGAGTCTCGAGTCTGTCCATAATATTTTCCATCAAGTTGGCGAGGTTGTTTTGTGCCGCTTCCACACCACTAGGATGTGTGGCGACTTGGGATGTAAACAAATCAAATACTTTAAATTCGATTCGTGATTTGTATTCGAATATAATGATTCGAATTCGCATTATTCAAATACAAATACAAATTCAAATATCAGTTTTGATTCGAATATTACATAAATACAAATACAAATAGGAGTATATTCGATTCAGGTGATATTCGAAAATTTGAATATATGTATATACACACAAACCATGTTTCAATATTAATATAGTCAAGCAAAGTAATATAGTATAAAATGTATTTAATTCAACAAATTAATGTAATACCAAAATTTAAAGCATACAATTTTTAATAGTTATATTTTATAAAATATAATTTGTGTGAGGTGAAAATGTATTAACTTTTTTAGATATAGTATAAGAAGTATTATAAGTTAAATTATTCAAAGTCTATGTTGGTCTATCATATAAATTATGCAGTATGATTATTAAAATATTTGTTTATGATTCATTAAGTATTAAAATATCAATCAAATACATATTCAAATCTTATTTTTAATTCGTCTCATATTCGAATTCGTATTCGAAAAAATTAAGCAAACACAAATTCAAATATCTCGATATTCGCTTCGATTCAGTTCGTTTGCACTACTAGTGGCGACTAGCTGTTCAGGGATTCTTGGCGTTGATAACGACTACTGAGAATTAACAGCACTACGCCTAGAGTTTCTCGTTTTTCGACCAGCCATACTCTCAACTCACAATCTCTCACTTTTAATCTCTCAATGAAAATACTAATGATGGGAATTAGCCCAACAACTATGGCGACAAAGAACAGATAATAATGACATTTAATCAATCTTGATGTATTTATATTACTTTGTGTATATCGGTGTTTTTTAACATGGTTTACAATGGAGGGTTCTCCCTCTATTTATACTATATTACGATTAGAAATATAATAGGGACTCATCATGCGCATAAACCTTGCCATTATCTCTTGCACATCGATCGTGGTGGTTTACCATCTCAACCCCCGATCTTCCCACGACTTGGTGTTGTATAGTCTGCCTTTGTTAAACGTTTGGGCCTATTGAAGGGAACTGGGCTTTTTGTTTCCTGTTTACCAAACCTGCCAAGTCACCCCTGTGGACAGGGCCGCTCATTTACGTCTATTGGGTCCAGTTATCCATCACTGATGACAACATTACTTATCCCCAGATCAAGGCTTTACGAAAGTCTAAATACGAGGGTCATGCTTGGACAATGGGAATCTATGAGATACGTGATTAGCCTTAGGACAAATTGGAGATTGTTGTAGTTAGGTGCCCTAGCGGAAACAAGAAGCCTATGCATCTGTACTTTTATCAAGAAATAACGGCCTCGGAGATTGTTTATGCATCTCGTTGGTATCTGAACATAACACTCATGTAACATTAATGAGGTTTACAAGTACCTATTATGAGACTGTTTGACTCGAAGTCATTGCGCTCTCTAGCATACATATTAGCATACTTTGATTCACGTCTAATGTTATCTAAAATACTGATAGATGTATGTCATGCTTTGGGTATGTTGCAACGCAAGCGTAGAAGACGTGAATGACAGTTACATGATTTGTTCCTTCAGCTGTTTAGAAGTTTAATGTCAACGGGCTCACTGATTAGTACAACTTAGGGAGTGCATGGTCATGCTCAAATATATTAGTATTTGATACTAATGATTATTTGATTCCCACTAGTCTACTCGAGAATTAGAAAATCACTGATTTGACTATAACATGGTTGCACACCCCAAGCCTTGTGTTAAATCATGACATAAAGACAAAGGGAAATAAGTTATAGAAGATTCTTGTGTCATTGAAAAGGTACTGATTAGAGGAATGTCTTAATTCATAATTTGTTGTTAGATATTGTTTACTACTTATGGTAATTATCATTGTCAATGTTATAGATACCTATACGGGTCACATACTTAGGACAAGTAAAAGAGTAAGATTTTATTACGGGACGATATTTGGATTTAAGTAATAAAATGTGTTTTAGTTAATAAATGTAGCGTCGCATTTAATATATAAATGTTTATATTATATATATTTTTGATACACACACACACACACACACATGTACACACACACAATATGTAAAGTTTTCATAAATAAAATGTAATTTTTGAAATTACCTTTTTACATTAGTCAAAGATTAATTTTATAGCCTCACATGATTCCTTGGAATTCACTTTTGGGTTAAAAACCAAAAACTATTCCTAAATAACATTTGGTTTTATTCTTTGACTAATTAAACCAAATGTGAATAAATACTCCCTCCTCCTCTTAGTTTGATTATGCAAGATTGCAAGAACACAAAAAATAGGGTAGTGTTTTATCTAATGCTCAAAGTGAAAATTATTTTTAGTAATATTTATTTGATAAATATTATTTTGTAGATAATTTTTTTCTACTAAAATATAAATCATATTAAATCTATACAATCGTAATTTTAAAATCTTAGATAAAATATTACTAGCATAATTTTAATCAAGACTCTAGGTTGTTCATGTGTCGAAGTCGCAGCCCGAACGCCTTTACGACAATGGGTGTTTCATCTATATCCATTCCACATCGCAACTCATTCATCTGTGACGATCGTAAAATAATCTTGTAGAACTTTGGAATTGAATCGGTTGTGTATTCTATTGATAACGAGAGATATACATACAAGTGTGTCACAACCCAACACAACTGGTCCAAGTACATAAAATGTAATATAAACAAGGTAAACTCTATAGTGAACCTAAAGTCCACCATGGATCTATATATGAGCAAAGTAAGCATTTTCATACTATTTAAATAAGCATCTAGTTTTTTAATAAAAAAATTAAAAAAAAATCATGTGAGAAGATCCATAAAAATGGTATGCACCCAAGGCACACCAAAGAAACACTCTATACACAAATATGAACACACACACACACATATATATATATGATAACATTCTCCCTCAAGTTAGAGCATAACGATAAAAAATGCCCAAGTTGGGTAATAACAAATGAAATAATGGACCAGGAAGAGCTTTGGTGAAGATGTTGATGTCTGTAGGCGCATGAGAACATAGGCTGCGACAAAATGATTACGCTAAATGCATTCACGCACAATATGACAATCAACGTCAATGTGTTTAGAACGCTCATGAAATTTAACTTGTAATTTTTATAAGTTGATCTTGAGTGGGAGTCAAGTTTGAACAAACATTTTAGTTTCCACTACATAACCCAAACTCGGTTTCCAACAACTTTTATATTAATAGATCTTCTTCTTTATGTGGATCTAATAGAAATGCTCTTAGTTCAGCATATGTTCTATTTTTTAAGAAAAGTATTCCAATTTTTTATATTCCTTATTATTTTGAAATAACTTTCAATTTGAATAATTTTCGGCAAACCAACAAAAATTAATATCATTCTCATTACATTTCCCACAAAAATGAATACACCAGGTCACAAGCAAGCACGATCTATTTTGAGAAAACTAGAGCAATAATTGTGGATATTTTAAAATAACTTATACATGAAATTATTTTGATCAACCCCACAATAGTTTGGAATAACTTCATCAATTTTTTCTTTAAAATATCTTTTTTTGTACTCTCTTTGTCAAAAATTCAATTAAATTGTTCGAACAACGTGCAAAATTTCATCTTTCTATAAATGATTTTACCTATAAATTGTTACCCACATAAAAATTACATACTTAAAAAATAACATCAAATGTTCTACAAAATAAGGTGCATCAAGAATATTGATTTTATTAATTGACCAATTAAAATATATGAGTTAACAAAAGTTATCGAGGTGCCCAAATAACAAGAGTATAAATTATTTTGGGACTCTGGTTAGGTAGTATAAGAATAATCATTTTTATGAAACATGCATTATAAATGTTTCAATTGAGACTAAGGGTCCTTTGGTGAAATATGGAGTTGGTGAAATATAAAGGTATTACCGTATGAATTTTGAAGTCTTTGAGAAAGTGATATGCGTTTTAAAATCTGAAAAAATTGTTTAGATAAATTTAAAATTATTATTTAATTAGTAATATGCGCGGGTAACCAAAACGAAGGTGGTTGATGGTGACAAGAGTAGCCAGTGCCCAAGAATGGTCAATGACTGAAAGAGATATCAAACTTCTATATTATATCTCTCAAATTTGAGAAATATAAAAACTTTTCAAAATTTTTTTTTTTAAATGCGTTTTGAAAAAAGCCTAATGCTTCACATTCAAAACGCGTCTGGTTCAATTAATACGGAATGGGCAATGCTAGGGGTACACCAACATGGGGTACCCCAAATGTACACCAAGCTAACACAGACACAAAATATCTGTGCAACACAGACACTTTGTGTCTGTGTGTGTCTGTGTTGGCTTTGGTGTACACTTGGGGTACCCATGTTGGTGTACCCCTAGCTTAGTTTAGTAGTAGTGAACCCTGCCAGAATCATCAGTCCTACGGATTCTCCTTTCAAACACTTTTGGCAACCAGTCAGAGCCAGAATCTAGGGAGAGAAAGCAAGGAGGCCGGCCATAATCTCCCTAGTCAAATCTCGTTCTCTCGGGTAACTTCACCTAAACTGATTTGAGATCTGCTTCTACACCGATCTATGCTCTTATTGTTATCTAATGGGAATCGCTAGGTTTTGCACAAGCAGTTACTCATAAATCCATTTTCATTTCTGCTTCCAGATCTGGGAAATGGAATTTTAATGTTGAGATCCTTTCATTTCCTACTTTTTAAAATCTCTTCTACCCGTATTTTAAACTACGAATACTGAAGATGGAACTGTGATTTTGAGATTTAAATCTCTGGCCTATGTCCCGATCTGTGATTGTGATTGTTTATGATGCTAATTAAAGTGTGATTGACTTTATCTGCTTTAGGTTTTCGTAGATCTGTGCTGTCTATTCATTTTTGGTGGATTCAATTTTTTTAATACAAAAGGTGGATGTAATTTATGAATACTGCTATATGCAAAAAAAGTATTTATAAAAATGTGTGTTCCGCGGTAGATTTGATTTCCTTGAATAAATTCATTAGGACTTAAATGATGCGTCAAAGGGTGGATCAAGTCCCTTCTGATAGTGATTACCCCAAAAGCCGCACATATGATCTGTTAACCCCCATCCACAAGATCATCCTGATTTTAATAATATTGTAGCTCGTTCAGCGTAATTTCTTGGTTTGTATTCTCAATAAAGAAAAAAACAATTAGCCTATCACGAAATCTCTAAACAAAATCATTCATTGAGATGCAGCGTAATTCATCGAGCATGACATATGAAATTAAATGTAGTGTAAGCAATTTATTTTGCCTCTCCTTGTGTGCCTAATTGCCTCTAGTGTTATGCAATTCCATATATTTTTCTTTGCAGTTCATAGAAAATGGCCGATGCTGATGATATTCAGCCACTTGTATGTGACAATGGAACTGGGATGGTGAAGGTTAGTCTGCCTTTTAATATTTTAAATTAATGTCTGAGCAGCCATGCATATTTATTGAACTTATTATGAATCGTGTTCTCAAAATATTAGGCTGGATTTGCCGGTGATGATGCTCCAAGAGCAGTGTTTCCCAGTATCGTTGGTCGCCCCAGACATACTGGTGTCATGGTTGGGATGGGACAGAAGGATGCTTATGTGGGTGATGAAGCCCAGTCCAAGAGAGGTATCTTGACTTTGAAATACCCCATTGAGCATGGTATAGTCAGTAACTGGGATGATATGGAAAAAATATGGCATCACACTTTCTACAATGAGCTACGTGTTGCTCCAGAGGAGCACCCTGTCCTCCTCACTGAAGCACCACTTAACCCCAAAGCAAATAGAGAGAAGATGACACAGATCATGTTTGAGACATTCAATGTTCCTGCAATGTATGTTGCTATTCAGGCTGTGCTCTCCTTGTATGCTAGTGGCCGTACAACAGGTTTGCACGTGATTAGTTTCTCTCCTTTCTTGTGAAGTTTTGTTTATCATGCAAAATAAATAATTGCGTTATGATTTTTTTTGGGGGGCAGGTATTGTTCTGGATTCAGGTGATGGTGTGAGTCATACAGTGCCCATCTATGAAGGTTACGCTCTCCCCCATGCCATTCTTCGTCTGGACCTTGCCGGACGTGACCTCACAGATCACCTCATGAAGATCCTTACTGAGAGAGGTTACATGTTCACTACTTCTGCCGAGCGGGAAATTGTTCGTGACATGAAGGAAAAGCTTGCATATGTGGCACTGGACTACGAGCAAGAGCTTGAAACTGCAAAGAGCAGCTCCTCTGTTGAGAAGAACTATGAGTTGCCTGATGGACAGGTGATCACAATCGGGGGAGAGAGGTTCCGTTGCCCCGAAGTCCTCTTCCAGCCATCTATCATTGGAATGGAAGCTGCGGGCATTCACGAGACTACCTACAACTCCATCATGAAGTGTGACGTGGATATCAGGAAGGATCTGTATGGCAACATTGTTCTGAGTGGTGGGTCTACAATGTTCCCTGGCATTGCTGATCGGATGAGCAAGGAAATCACTGCTTTAGCTCCCAGCAGCATGAAGATTAAGGTGGTTGCTCCACCTGAAAGAAAATACAGTGTTTGGATTGGTGGATCCATCCTTGCCTCCCTCAGCACCTTCCAGCAGGTGAGAAACCATTATATCAATTGTCATAATTTTCTCACTTATTTTTTATCAGTCATGTCCGGTGCTTTGTTCTTGGATCTTTTAACGTTGATTCTTTGTTGGCTTTGCTAGATGTGGATTTCCAAAGGGGAGTACGAGGAGTCTGGCCCATCAATTGTCCACAGGAAGTGCTTCTAGGATGCTGCTGCTGCTACTACTTGTAGGGTGAGTTCCTATCCCCCCTCTCTCTCTCTCTCTCTCTCTCGCTCTCTCTCGCTCTCTCCTACAATATTTCAGTATGTGCCGCAAATATTTGTAATTAACATGTTGCATTTGGTGATATGGCAGGGGAAGATGCTACAATAGTTTGCCTCTTCTGCCTCGCTGTTTCATTACAAGTATGTGTTTGTATTTGGTGAGTGACTAGTTTTGATTTTAATTCTTTTTTCTTCCGAATTTTTATTATATGGCTCTTTACTCACCAGACATACATATGTTAATAGTTTATGGTAAGGGAAGTTTGTGTTTGGGGAAATTGTGGGTTGGGTCAGGTTGAAATGTTCGAAGTTTTTTTCTTTCGAGTTGGTGTGGATGCATGCAAAATTTGTTTTCTTATTTTGAACTGCTCAGACTACTATATTGAATATTCTCTCCATATTTGTGCCCCCTTATTTCTTATTTAGAAATCAATTGAGTGATTACTATTAGCCAGTGAAAATGTGAAATTCAAGGATTCACTGCTTCCAACTTAAAGCGATGTTCGTAGCTCTCTTGTTTTGGTTGAGGAAATTACATATTCCCTCGTCTTGGAATTAAAGATACTACGTAATTTATGTTTTAAATCCCAGTTTTTTTACAGCAAGTATTAATGTCATATTATTACAATTTTATGCTCCGAACATTGGACTATTCTAGGCTAAAAATCCTTAAGTTTGGAATTACATGCCAATATTCTCAATGTAAAAAGACTAAAGTAGGAGTAAAAATTGAACATATATCAGAATAAGAGTAATACTCCCTCTGTCTCACTTTAGATTACAATATTCTTTTTTTGTTGAAATTAAGGAAGAGTTAAATCAAATTTTTCCCTCCAAATTACCCCCAAATCTCCCAAATATCCTTCCTATCACATGGATGAATAGTGTGAATAGTGGCTGGCAGAAAAGAAAAAGGAAGGGTAAAAGAGTCAAATCACTATAAAGTTATTGATTTTGTAATCTTTTTTGAGACAAAAATGTGAGGGAATATTCTAATATATTTCGGGACGGAGAGAGTATGTTTTTTGCATTTACATTATTAATCATGACCATGCATATTACGTAAAATGTATATGTACAATGTCATATTATTACAATGTGAATTCTTATTTAAGGATAAAAACATAAAACTTTTATTTTGATATATTTTTTATGTGTTATTCCTATTTAGGGTGATTTTTTTAATTCTCAATTTGAATATTTTGTCCCACAATTTCCGTGAGCCGATTTGTCACTAAAATTATGGTCTGTCATTTTAGACATTTGATGCTGCCAGTGTATCTCTAAAATTATTCATAAAACATGATACTCTCCCAGTCCCTCAAAACATAAAACATGATACTCTCCAAGTTTTAAATTGCTTAGTTTGACTCTGGCTGGTAATTAAGAAAGGAGGAAAATAGAGTTACTTTCCAGAATCCTCTCAAACTTAGTGTTTAACCCTCAAGCTCAATTAATTTGAAAGGGAAAAAACAAGAAGTAATCTACCCTTGCAATATTTAAGACAACCACAACAAATTAAACAAACACAGGCAAACTATTTGTCATGAATTTAGATGTACTAGTATTTTGACCTGTGCCACGCACGGGTCAAACAAAATTTTTTTCTCGAATCAAAAATTGTTTTTCTATTTAATATTTTTTCATATTAAAAAAATGATATTTCTAACATGATTTTTTAATAATATATGATTGACATTAACGTCAAAGTAGAATAAATAATATTTGAAAAATTTCAAGTTTGCATAACAAAGTCTTGACATGTACTCGTACTTGATAGAAGCTTGTATCTCGAATCATGCCAAGTCTTTTAGTTTGAGAAATGAGCACTAATGCCTTGTCTGTTTTCAAAACTTATTTAAAAATCTACATTGTTTCAAAACAATGTACACACACTCCCTATGATCATTTCTCGACTATTTTCTGATTGTTTTTCGGTAAAGGGGCATTGGTGTCTATTTTCTAAACCACATGGGGTAAAAGAACTCATTTTCTATTTTCCTTTTATTTTTTGGTTTTCCCCCTTTTTTTATCTCATTTTTTACTTCTCTCTGCTTCTTTTTTTAAAGGGTTTTTTTAAATTTATTTTCTAAAACTTTTCAATAATGTTTTAAAATTTCAATATTGTTTTGTTTGAAATACAAACTAAACAAAATGGGAAAAAATAAAAATAGTTTTGTCATCTTTTTCTGCACTCTTAACCAATTAGTATTATTCTACATTATTAACAAACTAACAATTGTAAGGCCGTCTAAAACTTAAGTAGAAAAAAATCAACTAATCCAAGAAGATGGGAAAAGGTAATGAAAGGATTGGTTGTATGGAGAGTCAAAAAACAATTCAAATCATGTGAGAGCATAACCTAACATTTGAGAGGAGTTCATGTGGGTGCTATGGGTGGATAACAATAATAATATAATATGACTAAAAAAGTATCAAGCTTAGTATTGTGCAATCCCAACTTCATTAATTAGGGTCTAGGAGGTCAAGATTCATACAGCTTTAGCTCTATAAAAACTTGAGAGGTTAAGAAGCAAGTTCGCCCAGAATTTAGCTCGGTAAAAACTTGTTGCATTTAGTGCCCAAAATTTCATGGGAAGTAAGAAGCAAAGAAAGTTTGACATATCCTTTTGATTTAGTCTATTAGTTATCCAGAAGTAATAAAAAAAATTCTTTTAGTTCCATTGGCAATTGAATTTAATAACAAAATGGAATAAAGCAAATTTGCTATTTAGATTGTTTGCACTTCATTAAAAAGTGAAGTAACAATTAGTCAATGCAACTTTTCACGCTCATCTAGATCGTGAGATGAGTGTCTTTGAAAACAACCTCTTACTTTTAAGCAGGGCAGGGTCTGCGTACCCAGACACCTTAGACCTTACTTTTATTTGTAAAATTAAATTGAGCTAAGTTGTTGGTGTGTGTGTAATAGTGTAACATTTGTTAGTAAATAATACTCCCTCCGTCCACAAATAAACTTCCCGTTCACTATTCACATGATCAAACTTTATTCACTTTGTTGGCCTATTTTCGTCACCCATTTGATAAAATAATATAGTCATGTTATCTTTAATTTTGTAGATCTTTTGATATAGTTTTTTAATATGTAATTTTTATTTTTAAAATTTACACCTTTTTTATATAAAATGATTTCAAAATAACTACAGTCAAACATCGTAACACGCAACGGAAAGTTTATTTGTGGACAGAGGGAGTAGTAATCATTAAAATGGTAGTATTAATAATAATACCTATTTATTCTGGCTGATGCCCAACTTATAAAGTGTCGCATTGGAAATTGCCTGTATACCCTTATGAGAGTAGCATCCTTCATTTTTGTGAGGGCATTAAAAAAAGGTTACAACTTAGAGGATATTTCAAATATGACTTTCCTTCAAGTCCAAGCACTCCACGAACATGCTTTCAACACACCTTTGAATTGTGAGAGCTTTTACGATCTAATCATAATAAAAATATCGAATTACAACATTTATAAGGATAAAATAACCAAGTTGTGTTGAAGCATAATATATTAACCAAAATGAATAGTATATACCAATGAGCTTGGCACATATGAGCAACCATAATGACAATAAATCTCTTTGCAAAGCTTGTTGGAAAGCATTACGCATCGCAGCTGATGCATTAGTGAAGGAAGCAAGTAAAATGACCTTGACATCAATCTAGCTAGCATTCTAGCTTAGCATCAATACTAATTAGAAGTTCATGTGAAATATGAACATAGTGCTATGAGGTTATGGATACAAAATATTTGGTGTGTGAAGAATTTGTAAAGACATGAGTGTAGTCATAGGTGAGTAGAAATAGTATATTGTAATTAAAATATAATATTTTCCATTAAAACAAATACACTTCTAAAAATAAGAACCATACAAAATTTGTAATCTTTAAAACTAAATAAATAAAGAGAAGATATATCACATAACATACAATTCTTATATGTAAATATAAAAGTTTGTCTAAAAACTATACTTCAAAATTTATACATATACTCCACAGACAGGTCTTTAGCTAACAATTCTACTCAAGTGGAGCAGGATAAAAATCAATTATTCTACTTTATGAGGTATAACACAGAGGTAATTAATATGGACCATTCAATTCTTATGGAGAAGGTTATCCAAAATTAAAAGATATATAAATAGGAAACCACTACAGACATTGATCTCATAAGCAATTGAAAACCAATTATGAATCATATATTATAGAAAGATTTATAAAGGCAAGAAAAAAATATTATCACATTGGACACATTAAAACCTACATTGTGGTTTGGATTAAAATTTATTAAACCATCATCTAAAGAGCATGGAAAAGTCTCCTACTCAAACCAAAGTGAAATTTGTTATAGTAAATTAGAAAGTGAACGGAGGGGGGAATGTAAATGGAGTATTAAATAAAGAACTGGAGCATACTCGCATTCCATTTTTTCTTAGGCTGAATAATGGTGAAACATATATATGAAGGAATATAGGATATAAAAAATATAATTAAATAAGCTGCAATGTACCATTTATTGATAAAGTGGAAGTACTAACATTTGGCATATACATGTAAAATTCAAAAACCTCTACCAAAAAACACCTAGGAGAATAAGACCTTTGAACAGGCTGCAACAATGTCAAACTTTGCCAAAAAAACCTTGGAGAACACTTGCTAAAATCGGCTCATTTTATCCATAGATCACAACATAATGAATATTTTTATCAAGTAACTTTATATGCACTTGAAGATTAAAGAAACAGAGAATTATTTCATTGAACTCATATATGCAGTAATGTCATAAAAAGTAGAAATAGAGATGATATATACCTTCACTGTGAGCATTGGTCTTTTGAGTTTTTGTAAATAAAGGACTTCTGAAAGGCAAGCTTACTACAGTTTGAAGGCCATTTATCACAACTGTACTCGAGAGCAAAACATGTTACTTGGTGATGAACCAAAAATAATAACAACCAAAGCTATCTCACCATGTCCTTTGGTTGGTATGAGTAGTACTATCAACCAAAGCACCTTGTTGGTATGAGTAGTACTATCAATCCTTTTGAGCTCTTTCCGTTCCCATTTTGACATGGGGTATTACAGAAGATACTTCATTAAATGAGTGGTCATGCATGTATGAATAGAGTATGAAATGAAGACATGCGAGGAAAAGTGGGAGTGACACGTATTATGGAAAAGATGATGGAATTTCGTCTTAGATGGTTTGGACATGTGGAGAGAAGACTAATAGAGTATCAGTGAGAAGGGTAGATCAAATTGTGTATAGACATGTAGCTAGATGAATAGATAGAGCTAAGAAAACTTGGCAAGAAGTGGTGTAGGGGGACCATTGCATGAATGATCTCACAGCAGATATGATACATGATAGGGCTCTTAAAAAATATGTTGTTGCACTTTCACAACCTCAAAAAAATGATAGGAAATTAAAAACGCGAAGGGGGAACAAACAAACAAAGTGACCCCAAAGCTTGTACGCCAATCGAGGAGGAAGCGTTGGCCTGAGCTTGTGTTAACGTTTCACAAGACCCAATTAAAGGTACATTTAGCATCAATTAATTATTTCTTTCTAAATAAAATATTTTAATTTCTTTTTAATATTTTTCTCTAAAATTATTTTGTCAATGATCTACAGGAAACGCTCAAATAAGTGATGAGTTTTGGGTTAAAGTCACTGATAAATTTCATGAGTTGATGAACTCAGAGCCGTACAGCCTTGTCCATTCTGTTGCTTCCAAGTACCGGGATTTGAATAAAACTAAAAAATTTACCAGTTTCTATAATATATTTTACATCAATCATCCGAGCGGTATGAGTGACGACGAGGTGTCGAGGATTACACTTGAAAACTATCAAACACAACTTTATCCATTCTCGCATCTGAAATAGTGGAAAATCTTCCACAGCTGTTTTAAGTGAGCCTCGATTCTAGACGAGGTCGCTTGGGCAAAATAGACCAAAACATCGTAATTGGGAGACTACAGTCTTGGCGAATTTGATATGCGATGGATATCGAACATAAGTGACAATGATGACGAAATACCAATGCCCTTATGCCAAAATGCCCCCATTGGGAGGAATCAAACGAGAAGAGACAAATCTCCGCTAATGGCGCCCGAACCCTTGGTGAAAGGGTTTGAAGATCTTAGCACTAACTTGTCCTGCTTTACTAAATTGTAGGTGGAGAGGCTTCGGTTTAATTAGTAAGCAAGAGCGGAGAAGCTTGAGCTCGAGCGTTAAAGCTTGAGCTCGAATGCCAACGACTCGAGTAAGTAGATTTCTAAATAATAACCCTCGATGTAATAATCTTGGTCTGATAGAAGGTGTGGTGGTGATAATGATGAAAGAAAAGATATCAAAGAGGTGTCTTGGAATGCTGGGGACAACAGGAACGGGGGTCTTAAGAATTTTTAAGCGCACTTTTATACATTTTATATATAATTTTTTTACACACTTATATATAAGTATGTTTTAATTTTATTTTGCTTCTTAATTTAACTTTAATGAAATGTTCACTTTAACTTATAGAGTACCTATACCATACATCTGAATGTACAATATTTTCAGTACATAAGTATAAATACTCATTTTCAAGTAACAAAATACTCATTTTTCGAGCATAACTAAATTTTAGAAAAATAAGTCTTCTGTTACTTGAAAATGTGTATTAAGTTGCTTGAAAATGAGTATTTAGTTACTCGTAAATAAGTACTCCAACTGGTTGTACGATATATAATTTTTATTTTAAGTTTTTTTGAGTTTGTAATATTTTATTATGTTTTATGTTTTAGTTTAATTATTTTTAGTAAACTAAGTGTTAAAAGATAATACATAGTATTAAAAAATGAAAGGGAAAGGGGAAGTGAAGGGGAACCAGAACCCTAAGAGTTCTGATATCGTGGTCTTAAAGTCTATATGTGAAATGTGAAATTTCTAACATATTCTTTATAAAATCGTTGTTAGATCTCTTTCATTTTTTTAAAGTAGAGTATATTTAATTATTGTTGAATATAAGTAAGCCCTAGAGGCGAACTTATAATTCCATTTCTAAATTTTATCAAGAATAATATGTCCTAAAGATTGTTTAAATTGTCTCGTGTGATTTAAACGTAGCTTTAGTCCATAAAGTAGGCGCTCTAGCAGCATAGATGAGAACTACGATGTTTGGATTATGAGGTTGTTGTAAGGATAGAGGCTACGTCTAAAATATCTTTAGTCAAATATTATGATAATACAAACGTCATAATATGCTAAGACTAATACGTATGAGATGAGATAGTTGCGTCTCATTGGCTATATATGGATAAAGTGTTATCTAAATCTATACGTAAGCAAACATATTGGATATGTTGCTGGATTGACTTGCTATGAGAATAATGTATGAGTATTATATTAATGTGTTAATATTATTCTCATACGACCATTAATATAACTATCCTTTGACTTGAGGTCATTACGATCTTTGATAAGTTGAGTTGCATACTTTATTGCGTAGTTAATACCATCTAAAATATTGGTAGACGTACAATATGAAACTTAAGTGAAGATATGAATGACATAGATAGAATTTATCCTTTCATTAGTGAAGTGTAAAATCTTAGGTCCCACTGATTGATGTGACTTGGAAAGTGCATGGTCATGCCCTAATAAATACTCCCTCCATCCCATAAAACTCTTTTCTTTTTAAAAAGGCGCATCCTTAAAATGAATAATTGTGATGATATTTTCTAAATATGATTCATTTATCCTTCACAAAGCATGCTACTCTATTATAAAGTAAGAGAAAAAATAAAAAATATCATCAAATTATTCATTTTAAGGATGCGCCTTTTTTAAAAAGAGAAGAGTTTTATGGGACGGAGGGAGTATGTTATTTGAATCCCACAATTTAAAAAGAATCAATAAATCATCAATTTAACTACACACCCCATAACTTGTGTTAAATCAAGATATTAGTGATAAAGGGATAAGATTTATACAAATAAGACGTGTCGTTGAAAGAATTGTTCCGAGAGCTTCATATTTGTAACTTGGGGGTGAAAATGTATTGCTAGATACCGCTTATCATTTATAGTATGTAATTAATATAGGATCACACACATAGAACATATGAAAATGTAGAATATTAAAATGGAGTTATATATATATATATATATATATATATATATATATATATATTGTTTTTATTAATATTGTGTGACAATATGTAAAGATACACACACACACAGATATATATATATGTGTGTGTGTGTGTGTGTGTGTGTGTGTGTGTATCTGTGTGTGTGTGTCTACACACACACACACACACATATATAAATGTTTGGACATTTTAATTATATGATAATACAGTTTGTCAAATATTATTTAAGGAACAAAATATAACATTAATATATTTTATATGTACATGTGCATATATATATATATATATATATATATATATGAGATATATAATCACCACACACTCACACACACACACATATAACTGTGTGTGTGTATTTATATATTTCGGATATATAAATACATATTATATTATTTATTTTGTTTTAATTATATGATAATTAGAGTTGACAAACTAAATTGAAAATTTTCCATAAGGAGGATTTCAAAACTTGGGCATCAGGTTTAATGAAAATGGAATTTGATTTTTTTCCTAAACTTTAAAAGGTATATTGCCATTAAGAATGAGAATGAAGATTATGCTCCTTATATATATGAGGTGATCCCTCCCCTTTCTTTTCTTCCTCTCTCACGCCACAACACAAAGAAAAAATAAGTGAGAAAATTTGTTTCTCTTATCTTTTCTTTTACTCGAAATATTTTATATTTTAGAAATATTTTAGGAGAAAATTACTAGCACAATTTTTCTCTATAACATTTTGCATAGTTTGTATGTCCAAACTAGAGGCTAGATACTTTTGTGGCTAGTTTTGGACAAATCCCATCACCCATACATCGTTGCTTGCTCCCCAAAAAAGGTATCTTCATAAGGGATCTGATGGAATTTAGCCCAACAACTATGGTGGTACAAAGAACTTTTTTGTAAATAAGAAGAATATAAATTGGAATATCACTCTCGTATGCTTGTATTAACTTGATTCAGCTTGGGCTAAAATGAAGGATTACCTTCTATTTATAGCCTAATGCCACTACGTATATAGTATGGAATTCGTACACTACATTATCGGTATGATTGGCTATCGCCCGCCAGTTATGGGCGAGAAATTAGTAATCAATCGCTTCTCAATCCCACGATCAGGGGGACTGTGCTCTCCTCTTGCTTGGTTGCCTATTTTGTCTCCACGAGCTGGGCTTGGCCCATTACCTCCTTCAATCCTTTGGCTCGGTCCACCTTCACGGTCCAGCTATGGGCCTTACTCCTGTTGGGCTCTGGAAAACTGACTCGGACCTTATCAGATCCGTCTCATGGACTCGATATCCATCAGGATCTTAGGTGGAAACAATGTTTGAACATTAAAATTTTGTTTTCCGTTGCCTAATCCAAGCGTGATTTGCCAACAATCATTTCATATTTTAATGTGCAAAAGAATTAAAAAAAGAAAAAAAAAGAAAGAAAATGACCAGACGCGATCTATACCACTAGCCTTACTAATACAGATTAGGGGTAAGCAAATAACGAACCGATATTGAAAATTCTCAAAAAAAAACTGAGGAAACTGAACCGAAAATTATTCAACCAAAAAATACCACTAAAATGCCGAACCGTACCGAACTGAATATCCTCAACCGAATATGGATACTTATATATTATAAATATAATAATCTTTTTATATGTTTTTATTGAATAATAAGTTTATATTTAAAATTTGGCTCAAGTTTTATTATGTGTACATTGTATTTTTATTTGAGTTTTAATTTTTTGTAAAATAATTTAAAAATGGTAACACATATTTGAAATATCATTTTGTTATCATACGTTCATTGTAGTTTGTGAAATATATACTAAGTTTATTAAGTATTTCTTGAATTTAATTTTACATTTTTACATTTTTTGTTTAAGTATACTTTCGATTAACAAAAAAAAAAATAGTTTTGTGACTTTTAAAAAGTTTAAATTAGGTGCGAATGTATTCGTCCCTATTTATCTCGAAACCAATACCAAATCAAAATTTTGGGACCAGAATCGTTATGATGTAAAATCTGATATAGAATTGAAATATTTGGTACTCCAGGTTATTTGGTAATACTAGAAAATACCACTAATACGGAGTATAACTCTTCCACAGTCCACACTACTTCCTACCGATTCTCCTTTTAAACACTTCTTGCAAGTTGCAATTGGCAAGCAGTTAGAGCCAGCTAGAATACAGGGAGAGAAAGTGAGGAGGCCGACCATAATCTCACTAGTCAAATCTCTTCCTCTCTCGTTCTCAGGTAACTTCACCGAAACTATAAGTTGATATCTGTATCTACATCGATATATGATGTTGTTATCTAACGGAAATAGTTCGGTTTTGCACAAGCAGTTTACTCATAAATCCATTTTCATGCCTGCATCGAGATCTGGGAAATGGAATTTTAATGTTGAGATCCTTCCTTTTCTGACTTCTTAGAATCTCTTTTACTACGGATACTGAAGATTGAACTTGATTTTTAGATTCAAATCTCTGACCTATGTCCCGATCTGTGATTTTGATTGTTTATGAAGCTAATTAAAGTGAGATTAACTTGATCTGCCGTAGGGTTTCGTAGATCTGCGCTGTCTTTGCATTTTAGGTGGATGTAATTTATGAATACTGCTGTATACAAAAATGATATTTTCCAGAAAAAAAAACAATTTTGTACTGCGGTTAATTTTATTTTGCCCTTGAATGATGCGTCAAAGTGTGGATTAGGTGATTTTGATAAAGATTACCTTGAAAGCCCTATATATGATCTGCTGGCCCTCATCCACAAGATCATCCTGATTTTAATAATAACTAACCTCATAGTTTTTTTATTGCTATTAGTTCATAGTTTCTTGGTTTGTGTTCTGCACACAAATCATTTATTGAGATGCAGCTTAACTTAAAGTGCATGATATGTGATATTCTGTGTAGTCTAAGCAATTCATTCTTCCTCTCCTTGTGTGCTTAATTGCCTCCAGTGTTATGCAATTTCATATAATTTTCTTTGCAGTTCATAGAAAATGGCCGATGCTGACGATATTCAGCCACTTGTATGCGACAATGGAACTGGGATGGTGAAGGTTAGTCTGCCTTTTAATATTTTAAATTCATGTCGGAGCAGCAATGCATATTTATTGAACTTATTATGATTTGTGTTGTCAAAATATTAGGCTGGATTTGCCGGGGATGATGCTCCAAGAGCAGTGTTTCCCAGTATCGTTGGTCGCCCCCGACATACTGGTGTCATGGTTGGGATGGGACAGAAGGATGCCTATGTGGGTGATGAAGCCCAGTCTAAGAGAGGTATCTTGACTTTGAAATACCCCATTGAGCATGGTATAGTCAGTAACTGGGACGATATGGAAAAAATATGGCATCACACTTTCTATAATGAGCTACGTGTTGCTCCTGAGGAGCACCCTGTCCTCCTCACTGAAGCACCACTCAACCCCAAAGCAAATAGAGAGAAGATGACACAGATAATGTTTGAGACATTCAATGTTCCTGCAATGTATGTTGCTATTCAGGCTGTGCTCTCCTTGTATGCTAGTGGCCGTACAACAGGTTTGTATGTGATTAAGTTCTTTCCTGTTTGTGAAGTTTTGTTAATCATGCAAAATATATAATTGCATTATGATTTTCTTGGGGGGCAGGTATTGTTCTGGATTCAGGTGATGGTGTGAGTCATACAGTGCCCATCTACGAAGGTTACGCACTTCCTCATGCCATTCTTCGTCTGGACCTTGCCGGACGTGACCTCACAGATCACCTCATGAAGATCCTTACTGAGAGAGGTTACATGTTCACTACTTCTGCCGAGCGGGAAATTGTTCGTGACATGAAGGAAAAGCTTGCATATGTGGCACTTGACTACGAGCAAGAGCTTGAAACTGCAAAGAGCAGCTCCTCTGTTGAGAAGAACTATGAGTTGCCTGATGGACAGGTGATCACAATCGGGGGAGAGAGGTTCCGTTGCCCCGAAGTCCTCTTCCAGCCATCTATCATTGGAATGGAAGCTGCGGGCATTCACGAGACTACCTACAACTCTATCATGAAGTGTGACGTGGATATCAGGAAGGATTTGTATGGCAACATTGTTCTGAGTGGTGGGTCTACAATGTTCCCTGGCATTGCTGACCGGATGAGCAAGGAAATCACTGCTTTAGCTCCCAGCAGCATGAAGATTAAGGTGGTTGCTCCACCTGAAAGAAAATACAGTGTTTGGATCGGTGGATCCATCCTTGCCTCCCTCAGCACCTTCCAGCAGGTGAGAAACCATTATTGCAATTGTCATAATTTTCTCACTTATTTTTTATCAGTCATGTCCGGTGCTTTGTTCTTGGATCTTTTAACGTTGATTCTTTGTTGGATTTGCTAGATGTGGATTTCCAAAGGGGAGTATGAGGAGTCTGGCCCATCAATTGTCCACAGGAAGTGCTTCTAGGGTGCTGCTGCTGCTACTACTTATAGGGTGAGTTCCTATTTTTCCTTCTCTCTCTCTCTCTGTCTCTCGTTTTTTTTGCCTTCCTACAAATCTAGAATATTTCAGTATGTGCTGCAAATCAGCAAATCTGCGTAACATGTTGCATTCTCGTTTTTTTTTGCTTTCCTACAAATCTACTAACATGTTGCATTTGATGCTATCGCAGGGGAGATGCTACAACAGTGTGCCTCTTCTGCCTTGCTGTTTCGTATATGTGTTTGTAGTTGGTGAGTGACTGGTTGTGATATTTTTTCTTTTTTTTTCCGAATTTTTTATTATATGGCTCTCTACTCACCGGACATACTTATGTTACTGTAATAGTTTATCTTAAGGGGAGTTTGTGCTCGGGAACATTGCTGTGTTGAAATGTTCGAAGGTTTTTCTTTTGAATTCGTGGGTGGGTGTATACTTTGTTCTCTTATTTTGATGATACTGCTCATATTGCTGTGTTGAATTTTTCTCTATTTTTATGCTCACTTGTATTTCTAGTTTTATCCTCATTTTTGTGTTGTTTAATGTTTGCTAATTGTTCTACAGAGTACTCCGTATTATTTTTTTTCATTTTTAAGTGACGTTACGTTCATATGGAGTATAATCTTTTGCCATTAAATGAGTAAAAGAGTGATACACTACGAGTAGGGATGTAAACAAATCAAATATTTTAAATTCGATTCGCGATTTGTATTCGAATATGATGATTCAAATTCGCGTTATTCAAATATAAATTCAAATTCAAATATTATTTTTGATTCGAATATTAATCAAATACAAATACAAATAGGGATATATTCGATTCGCATAATATTCGAATATTCGAATATATGTATATATACACAAACCATGTTTTCAACATCAAAAGTCAAGTAAAGTAATATAGTATAAAATGTATTTAAAATACCAAGAATTTAATAAATTAATGTAACACGAAAATCTAAAGCATATAATTTTTAATAGTTATATTTTATAAAATATAATTTGTGTAAGATGCAGATGTATTAATGTTTTTATACTATACGGAATATAGTATAGTATAAAGAGTATTGTAAGTTAAATTACAAATTAATGTTGGTCATTGATATAAATTACATAGTATGATTATTCAAATATTCGTTTATGATTCGATAACTATTCGAATATTATTCAAATACTTATTCAAATCTTATTTTGAATTCGTCTCATATTCAGATTTGGATTCGTATTCGAAAAAATTAAACAAATAAAAATTCAAATATATCGGTATTCGCTTCGATTCAGTTCGTTTACACCCCTAACTACGAGTAGCTATACCATCCGTACATCTTCATCAATGCTCGTTTTTGAGTAACTAATTATTTATTTTTGAGCTAAACTTTAGAAAAATGAGTATTTAGTTTTTCGAGAATGAGTATACACTTGTTCCAAAATGAGCACTCGTGAATGTACAGGAAACTCAGTACAAAATGGTTGTAAGGTATATATGTTGCAAGCTAGTCCATGGTGAATGCACCACTTAAGCTTCATGAGATTATAAGGGAGTATCTCAATGCATATGGATATTTTTTTAGTACATACAGAGAAATGTTTTGAGAATGAACTCTAAAACAATTTATTCATAACACTAAATTAAACAAAAAAAAAGGCAAACATTTACATTGATCACTTGTTTACCTAAAACACCACAACTAATAAATTACAATCTTCTAAAAGGCATACAACCAACTACACAATGTAACACAAAACTTACACTTGTTCATCAAGAAAACCCTCTGCCCAAAACCCTCTAACCTCATCTAATTCGGCTACATTATTTATTTGATTAAAGCAAAATTTTAAGTGTTTTTAGTTCATTTTATCACCTTTTGTTTTAAATTTTTCACATACTTTATAATTATAAACTTTTTTTAAATACCAATCTTCAAATAAAATGAACTAAAAGCAGTTAAAATTTTTCTTTGTTTTGTATAATGTGGCAAATATTTTGAAGCGGATGAATTATTTTTTTATACAAAGTACTACTTTGGTGTTAGATCCCTAAGAAACTCCAAACGCTTTGTCCCAACATTTGTATTTAGATGAAGGTAATTCTTTTGTGATCCTTGTGTGAGTTATGTCAATAGCTAATTTATAGATTCTAATACACAAGTTGATAAAATATGTTGGGTCTTGTAAAAAGGAGTCCAACTATGAACTCATGCAAAATAAGTTGAAAGTTCTATAATCTATATGTGGAATTTCAGACCATAATAGCACAACTCTTGAGTCTTGATTGAATGTTTAGGAATTAAAAAAGAGAGTTTTTTTTTACATTCACTTTAAAATTATCAATCCTCAAAAGAGAGTTTTTCAAAGACAGAGTATGGGAATAGTGAAAAAAGTTTTCCCAACAAAAAACCGTAACTCTTTTCCCTCCTAATAAAACTCAGTTTACATTTGTCTAGAAATCATTTTCTACTTCGTAGTACCCCATAAATTTTATTCTTCTAAAACAACCAAACACTTAAGGGATTTTCTCCCATGCCTCTCAATTTGAGAGGGCATGGATGCCCATCCATTATTATTTTGACATGTGGACTATTTTATGATTAAGCTTATTATTAGTATTAATATCTCACTTATGGAGTATGTTTTAGATAATCTTAACTTATTATCCATCCTTATTCATTCTATTTTTTCTTAAGTTTGCGTTATATTGATGAGAAGAAAAAGTATTAAACAATTTTGAATTTGTATTCCCCAGTTCTTTTGAATTTTTTGTTTTCTTTCTTTAAAAGATAAATAAAATATTTCATATATTTCGATAAAAAGTATTTGAAATAATCCAATTTTTTCATGTTCTTCTAAAGACAAATTACTTTTTACTGTCGCGTGAAAGAATTTCACATTTTCGCATGTATGCAAGTTTTGGATCAATGTTAATCAACTAATCGTAATTTGTTGAATTTCTACAGAAAATATCAATTTTGCAAAAATAAATGCCGTGTGAGATTATTTGAGGCAATTTTTCAAAAACTTTGTAGAAGTTTTAATTTTTGGAATTAATGTTTTAAAAATATAAGATTACGCTCTTGACTTCTTGTTAGATATTTATCTGAGTAAATTTCATAATTGGTCCTTTACAGGGGGTTTTCATATTTAGTCTTCTATTATCAAATATTACCCCTATAGTTTTTTTAAGGGTGTCTTTCCATAAATAGTCAATTTTTTTATCTTCTGCCATGTTGGTATTAATTTAAAAGCTAAAAGTATAATTTGACATCAACATTATGTCTAGTGACGTGTTCTGATATTGGTTAAACGGATAACACAAAAATAATAACTATGATTGTGTGCTAGGATTCCCACCAAAGACCACATTTGTAGACTATGATTGTAATAGAAAGTGACTGTATTTCACAAACGATGGAAACGGAACAACTTTTGGAATTGTGTATGACAAAAAAGATATATTATTATTGCGAAATTACACTTTTAGCCATCAAATTAATACCAACGTGATAAAAGATCAAAAAAGGTCTATTTGTGGAAACATACCCACAAAAAGGATCATTGCGGTAATATTTAATAATAGAGGACTAAATATGGAAATATCCCTATTATAAAGGACCAGTTATGGAATTTAATCTATTTATCTGTTCTAAAAAAAGGGATCACAAGCTTTTTGTGAGATTTTAGAGAAATAATATTAGCATGTAGATTATCAAGAAAAAATTTGAAAAATGAATATTGTAAGGTCTATTGAGAATATGGTATTATGAATACTAGAGAGTCTAACAAACGACCAAGAGTGTATATAACAAAAAGAAAAAATAATGCAGGCTCAAGAATAAATAGAATGGAAAAAGGGTGAAGAAAGAAAACAAAAAAAAGCCAAATGAACTACTCCGTATGTAGTAAAAGTTTTTAATTATTTAACACTGTTATTTTCAAACAAAAAATAACCGTATGTTTAAGAAAAAATACAATGAAAAAAGGATGAAGAGTAAATTAGAATTATTTAAAACATACTCAATCATTGAGATAATAATATTAATAAGCTTAATCGTAAAATAGTCCACATGTCAAAATAATAATGGAATGACATCCATGCCCTCTCCAATTGAGAGGCATGGGTGAAAATCCAACACTTAGGTCCCGTTTGGTATATGAAATTCAAACTATAAAATTGAAATTAGAGACTTCAATTCCAATTCTGGTATTTGGTAGCACAAAATTTATGTAGATTTGGAATTGATAGTGCAAAAAATGAATTGAAATTGACAGAATTTAATTCTATGGAATTGAATCCCATGAAATTCCAATTCTACCAATTCCTTATACCAAACAAACCCTTAAAACTTTATAAAATGACTTGCGATTTTTCCAGTTAGTTTTTGAATACTCCTCGATCGGTAGTTTGGGGATTATTAGGTGACAACACCAATATGTGCATTTTCATGAAACAGCTCTCTTAAACAGGTTCGCATTCACAATGTGAACAAAATAATACGGCTAAAGTGGTTGTCTACAAACCAAAATTAACAAATAGAAAATGCAAAAAATAGATGAATTATTGGTACAGCACCACCAGTAACAAATTTCTACTGGCTGATTCAGAATTCCATTAATTTCTTCCAACCAGAACAAGCAACACAACAGAGACAATATAAAACTACTGATTAAACATTGATTGATGGATAAAATTAACTTCTAGAGAAAGAGAAAATTTAACCAATTAAGCTCTTTCGCCTCTGATCCTCCTGGCAAGCTGCATATCTTTGGGCATAATCGTAACCCTCTTGGCGTGAATCGCGCAGATGTTCGTGTCCTCAAACAGACCGACAAGGTAAGCCTCCGCAGCCTCCTGCAACGCGGAAACAGCGCTGCTCTGGAACCGGAGATCCGTCTTGAAGTCCTGGGCGATCTCCCTCACCAGCCTCTGGAACGGCAATTTGCGGATCAACAGCTCCGTGCTCTTCTGGTACTTTCGGATCTCACGCAGAGCGACTGTTCCGGGCCGGAATCGGTGCGGCTTCTTCACTCCGCCGGTGGCGGGGGCGGACTTCCTGGCGGCCTTGGTGGCGAGCTGCTTCCTCGGAGCCTTGCCTCCGGTGGATTTCCTGGCCGTTTGCTTGGTGCGGGCCATTTCTGCGGCGATTAGGGATTTACAGATCTGGAGTGTTCTCACCAAAGCGGGAAGGGTTATGACTTTCGCTATCGTTCTCGTTGTGATTTATAGAGATTAGATAGGCCGGAGGAATGAAACAATTGGGAGGGAAACTTTTGGCGGATTTCAAAATTGGGGAAAATTTTTGAAATTTGAGGTTTCCGCAAGTGGTTTAAGACCGTTGGATTGTTATTTATGAACGGTGGAGATTCCAGATTGGCAAGAACACGCGGATCATCACTCGGATCCTATGGATTCGATGCATGTGGCAATCCTGCACGCTTTTTAAGCCCGGAAATGCCGGAATACTTTTTACTTTTACCGGTCCGTTTTTTTTGGGTTTTACGGGTATACTCCTCCGCCCTCGCCCCGAATTAATAATTTTAGTTTGATTTTATGTAGTTTAAAAAAATTAAAAAGTGAAAAATGAGTGATTGTGAATTTGAATATAAGAAAGATATATATATATATATATATATATATATATATATATATATATATATATATATATATATATATATATATATATATATATATTATGAACCACACTAAAATTCTACCCGTGCATTAAACAACAAAAAGAAAATTGGTATATGTACAACATATCAATAGCATTTAGGCTCCGTTCCGTTCAACTTATTTTTTTGATCTGATCTGACCAGATTAGATCTGATTGGATCTGATTTGACCTAATTTGATCTGATTAGGTCTGATCTGATCTGATTGGATCTAATCTGATCTGATTAAATATGATTTAATTTAAAATTTAAATCAATATGATAATTCGTATTATAATATAATCAATATTTTTTATTTGATGATTATTTTTTAATAAAATAAAATTAGTTAATCCATATCTTAGAATAATCATTCATATTATAATGTAATAATATTTTTTATTTTATGATTATTTTTTGTGAAATTAGAATATTGATTTAATATTTTAATAATTACTTCATATATATACATTAGAATAAATATTTAATTTATATATACATCAAAAAGTAATTAAATTTAGATCATCAATATATAATAGTATTTTTATTAAAATATCTCATCCTTATAAAAGATCAAACTTTAGAAACTCAAATTACACGTAGCAATAAAAATGTATTTTAAAAGTAGAATTAGATTGACATTGTCAATGTATTTTAAAAATAATTTTTCCGACATCTAATAATTAAGGATTACTTTCTCGTTTTCTATATAACTTGTTTCTAAAGTTTATTTTTTTTCATTTTTAAGAATAATAATAATAATAATAATAATTCTTGATGGGATCTAATCAGATCTGATCTGGTCTGATTTTATTGGATCTGATCTGATCTGATTCGATCTGATCTCATCTCACCTGATCTGATTGGATCTGATCTAATCTGATCTAATTGATTCTGATTTGATCTGATCTGATTCGATCTGATATAATCTGATCTGATTCGATCTGATCTGATTCGATCTGATATAATCTGATCTGATTCGATCTGATCTGATCTGGTCTGATCTCATCTGATCTGATTTTAATAAGAATAAGAAAAAATAAGAAAAAATAAGTTGAACGGAACGGGTTGTAACGCCCTGAAAACCGGTCTAGAAATTTTAACTTTCTAGTACAAAGAAATTAAAAAAATATATAAAATAAAAATGTACGAAAAATATTAATAATAATAATAAAATTTAAATTTAAAAAAAATGTTACTATTGTTTATTTAGAAACAATCGAGGGTTTAATTTAAACAATTAAGTACTAGTAGAGTTGGAAAAAAAATAGAATAAAGTGAAAGGGAATAAAAAGAATAGTTCGGTTCTCTACTATGCAAATAATATAGTTTGTTCATGTGAACCTATTTTCTTGACAAACAAATTATGCTAAAGTGATGTGTCAAAAATATGGAATCCAACGGTCTAAATTTTATTTGTTTCAAAAAAATTGGAAAATTGAAACTTGGAAAAATCGGACACGTAGTATTAAACCAACAGAGCAGGAAAAAAACCTTTTGTTTTCTCTCCATTTCTCACGCCACAATGGATTGTAACCTCCCTTCCATCATTGATTTCACCTCATTAAGAGGATTAATAATTTGCTTTTAATAATTTAATTAAAAAAATATTTAAATAATATTTTATTTATTTAACAACCATCCATCTTCCCATCACTTTCTAGCACCTTCTCCCCACCCTATAAATAGGGTTCCTTAGGAAGGGAGAACACACAATCATTTTGGAAAAAATATATATTCATAGCTAAGTAGAGGGAGAGGGAGTGATCTAGTAGGAGCGGGGTTGTGGTGTTTCTGGAAAGGAAGAAAGAGATACGCGGGGGACGCATCACGGAATTATCCCGCCAAGATTTGTCTAACTATTGTTTTGTCAAAACCGACACTTAAGGTGTGCCGTTGACCCTAACCTTTAGATATATATTTCATGTTAATATATTTTTGTGCATTTCCTTTCATTTTTATTAACATGAATTTACTCTTTGAGATAATAAATTAAAAGAGAAGGATACTAGTCATTATAATAATAAAAAAATATACATGTCAAATATAAATTTCACTTGGCTTCCAAAAAAAATGTAGTTATACATTTGCACACTTTCGGTAATGGCATAAATGAAGTTTTTATTCTTTATTGTCATTGTTGTTATATTCGTTATGAGTATTAGTACCATCATTATCTTTTCTACACATAAAAATATATACTCCGTATAACCGAAGGTTAAGAAAAAAAATGATAATAAAAAAAAAGTTGATTAGTATGGTGATTATACTTTTGTATAACCGAAGGCAAAGGTTTTATTCTTTATTATCATTATTATTATCATTGTTGTTATTATTGTTAGTATTATTATCATTAGTACCACTATTATCTTTTCTATAAAAAGAAAGTTTTAACCGAAGGTAGGAAAAAAAATAATTGATAACAAAAATAAAAATTATTAGTAGGATGACTTATCTTTCGGCAGTAGGTTTTTAAAAAAAACAGTTTGTTTCTTGGAAAAAAACAGTTTTGCTTTTAAATAGTAAGGGCCGAAGGTTTTATAATGATTATTCATTATCAATGATTATGATTTATCGAACTTCAGTATGGTCGAAGGTTAAAAAAAACAGTTTGGCTTTATAAACAAAAATGAAACTTTGTTTATGTCATAATAAACTTTTGTCGACTCTATTTAATTGTTTTTGTTTCATGTTGTAAGTGACCGTAACTATAAAAAAATTTGGTATGTTTGTTTCCTTAAAAATATTGGTATATGATTGTTGAATGAATAGACTTGCAATTTTTTTTTCCCGGTTTGAATGTGTAATTGATCAAGTCGCATGATGTTTTAGAAAATGAAAAGGGGACAACATCCTATGATGAATTTTAGAATGATTAAGAGATAAATCACACGATTTATGTAAACGACTTTACTAGATTAATCAAACAATTAGTGGACTAAGTAAAGGTTCAAAGTTTATTTTAACGACGTACCCTGACCAGGTATTGTCACGTTCTAGTATGTAAACCAAACTTCATTTCAAGGCCGGACCGTGTCCATGTGGATGAGCCTATAAATAATCATACCACAACGTGCGCACGAGAACCCAATGATGACCCCGTGGGTCTAGGGAGAACCCAATGATGACCCCGTGGGTCTAGGGTAAATAATCATACCACAACTTTACACCTCGACGATTTTTTTAATTATGTGAAAAGTTTTTTTTCTTTCTTTTTGAATTAAATTGAAAAACTTAAAAGGGCCAAAATATATTTACATGTTATATATGTCTATTGGTTATTTTGCCACTCAGCTTATGCTGAGCGTGTAGTGTTTAACTGCACGCAGATACTAGCAAAGAAAACAACTGCTGAGGGGGAAAGCTTGGACGTGGAGGCCGTGCCGAAGGAGTTCTTATTTAATATTTAATAATGAATAAAACAACGAACTTAATTTACATTGTTTTTTTTTTTGGGCTTGAACCCAAGGTTGTATTAACTGTGGATGTTTTTACTTTAAGCTTACGCGAAAAATGTTTTTTTTAATTCTCTTAAGTTATCAAAAAGAGAATAAATTTCAGATAAATCATATTTTACAAAGTAACCCGGTTTTACAGCACTCTGGTCTGGATGACTCGGGTCAGGGTGGGGTGTTACATTTTGGTATCAGAGAAATTGGTTTATAAAATGATGTTCTGACCTAACTTTAAGAAAAGGAATTGAGGAAAAACATTTGGTGGAAAAGAAATAAGAGAATGAAAAATTATTTTTTTTAAAAAAAATTGTTCTACAGGTACGGCCACGTCTTAATGCTTCCTCCAAGCAGGTATCTTAATTTGGCTTTAAACTAGTATGGAATGCACATAGTTTTGATATTGATTGAAATATAAAAAAAATGTAAATACAAGATATTACCTTTGGCGTTACAACATTATTTAGATATTGTGAAAATAGTTTATAATTCATATTAGGATATTGGTAGTATACAAGATACAAAGTTAGAGGCCAATAGATCGAGTGCATGACAATCTAGAATCCTAGAATTTGTGCACAGATGTATTTCGGTTTGGTACCACCAAATAGTTATGAGTGGACAAAAGGGGGCGCCCCTAGTCCTTAAAAGAAACCATACTAGTAAGAGAGTAATTTAACTGTACTCAAAGTACATAAGGAACATGCAGGAAAAACATTTTATGATATAATGAATATTGTATTTCCTTTAGTCCTAAAAAAAACCTAGGATCATGGTTATCATGTATCTTGTGTGCATTATTTTAGTATGTGAAGTTATAAGTTTTGGATTGGCAGGTTGAAACTGTTGACATATATAACATGTGAAAAAGAAAATATAACTACATTGTTACTAGTAATTGACCTCAAGTTTGCCTAGTTGGTTATGTCCTAGGTAGCACCAAAAAAAGGGATAGGAGGAAAAAAAACAAAAAAAAAAAAATAAACAAGCAAGCTTGTTTATCATTGAACAGTAGTTGTAGAATTAGAATATCAAAATTAATGTTTCCGTAAAATATTGCTTAAATTTTAATCATTTTAAAAGATGGCA